ACACATCTCCAAGGAAGACACAGCATTGGAACTCCGATAAGGAATTCCAAAGAATCATATTTAGGTATCTTCAACAAATTAAGAAGCAGATCAAAGAAAACACTGACAAAATTGAGGAAAACACAGAGAAAACCCTAGAACAATTTCAAAAGACAATATGAGAACAAAATGACAAAATAAATTAAAAATTAGAAATGATACAAAATCTACACACCGAAATCCAGAAGATTAATACTAAATTTTCAGAAATATGTAAGACACTGAATGGGCAAAGGAGTAGAATTGAATCAATGAAAGACAGAATTAGTGAGACTGAGGCAAATACCTTAATACTTCTTTGGAAAGGGATCAATCACTGCAAGAACGGCAAGGAGGCCACATGTTCTGACCTCTTCTAATCCCACAAGAGGAAGGCAGAATCACCATCAATAGTGCAAGGCCAGACATGATGCCTCCCTCCAGCCCTTTCTCTAACCGTTCCTCCCAAAGCACCTACCACCTCTCTCCTGGGTTCGATAATTCGCTGCAGTGGCCACACAGAACTCACAGATTATGAAGTTTATTAGGGAAGCACCAGATTACCATTCAAATTCAGGAAGAACACTCAGTCTCTCTCCCAGCCCACCGTCCCTCAGCCAACAGTCTCTCACAGTCTCTTTCCCAGCAGTGCTGGTCCCTTGGTGTCTCACTCAGCAATGCGTGTCTCTTGCGTCTCTTTCCCAGCAGCACATGTCTCTTTCTGGGGCGTGTGTCTCTTTCAGCAGCACGTCTTCCTCAACCAGCAGTCAGAGAGAGTTCTGCCTCTAAGGAGGCCTCCTTTTGAGCCCAGCAGGGTGGTCAAACTAGCCAATCACAGCATCAGAACTTTAAGCACCTGAGAGAGAGTGGGAACCTCCCAGAACATTGTATTGTGCCACTCCCAACAGAAATACTCCAGGTAGATAGTATTTACAATCAGGAGCTCCTCGGTTGCCCATTCCACCACTGAGTTTATAATGATTTATGGGTACAAAAGCCATACTAAGTAATTTACTACACCGCAATCACAAAAAAGACCAAAACAAAATGAAGAAAGCCTAAGGTTCATGTGGGATACCATCAAAAGGAAGAACCTATGTGTAATCGGAATTCCAGAACAGGAAGAGACAAGTAAAACCACAGAGAAAATTGTAGATTTGCTGGAAGAGAATTTTCCTGGTATGATGAAAAGTGAGAATATATCCATTCAGGAAGTCCAATGAACCCCAAACAGGACAGACCCCAAAAGAAAATCACCCAGACGTATCATCATCAAACTTACCAAAACCAAAGACAAAGAAAGAATCCTGAAAGCAGCATGGGAAAAACAAAAAGTCACTTACAAGGGGCAACCAATAAGACTAAGCTCAGATTTCTCGGCAGAAACCATGCAGGCAAAAAGACAATGGGATGGTAGATATAAAAGCCTGAAACGAGAAAAATTTCCAACCAAGAATTATGTATTAAGCAAAACTGTCCCTCAAATATGGTGGTGAAATTAGGACATTTCCAGAGAAGCAGAAATTAAGGGAATTTGTTAAAACCAGACCACCTTACAAGAGATGCTAAAGGGAACCCTTTGGACAGAGAAGCTACAACAGCCAACAACAACTGACCATTAGCACACATGATGACATAACCCAGAACTCAACACAGCTATGGAAGTATCCAAAGTAAATAAGCCTACAAGATTGTAAACACGGAACCAGAGACATCAACTGACAAGTGAGGACAACTACAAACCAAAAAGAGGGAAATAACTGTGTCATCACAGAACTTCTAGATGACAGGGAAGTCCAGAAACTACAAGATAGAACGGACTGTTCTAAACTTGGGAAGAAAACTACAGGGTAACCTCAAAGAAAAATGATAATAACCTTCATCAAAATAAAAAAGAGAACCAGCACAAATATTTAGCAAATACTAAAACAATAGCAATGAAGGAAGTGATAATATAATCCATAAACAAAATGAGCTCAACACAGAAAATTATATGAAACTAAGAAATCAACAGCACAAAAAAGCACATAACAAAAATGACAGCAACAAATTCATATTTGCCGACAATTACATACCTGGCAAGAGACTTATCTCTAAGATTTATAGAAAACTCCAACACCTCAACAGCAAAGGAATTAACAATTCAATTGAAAAATGGGCATAAGACATAAATAGACACTTCACCAAGGAGGATATTCAGGGGGCCAGCTAATACACGAAGAGATGCTCATGATCATTCACCATCAGAGAGAAGAGAGACGCAAATCAAAATAACGAGATACCATCTCACCCCAGCACTGATGGCAAGGTTCAACGAAACAGAAAATAACAAATGCTGGCAGGGATATGGAGAAATTGGGACTCTTATTCACTGTTGGTGGGACTGTGAAGGGAAACAACCACTGTGGAAAGCAGTATGGTGATTCCTTAGAAAGATGGAATTGGAGATACCATTTGACCTAGCAATCTCATGTGAGGTATATATCCTAGAGAGGTGAGAGCCAGGACAGGAACAGATATATGCACACTCATGTTCATCACAGCACTATTTACAATAGCAAAAAGATGGAAACAGCCTATGTTCTCATCGGCAGAAGAATGGATGACCAAACTATGGTACATACACACAATGGAATGCTATGCAGCACTAAAAAATAATGTAGAGTCTGCAAAACACCACGTAATATGGATGAACTTGGAGGGCATTATGCTGAGTGAAATAAGTCAATCACAGAGGACAAACATAGTATTATCTCATTGTTGTGGAGGGTCAAGGAAAGGTTTATATATGAAGGGAAATGTTCTTTGTTGGTTGCCAGGGGTGAGAGGGGAGGGGAGGGAACACTGAAAAAAAAAATGCATTGACACATGTCATTTTAGTTTTATGTATTTCACTGTACATAAATTGTATTTCAATAAATACATTAAAAAAAAAAAAAAAGTTCAAGACAACAGCTGTAAAACCAGCCCAAAGAAAAATCCACCAAGTCTAGTACAAAGAACCAAAAGCTACAAGGAAAATGGATAGAACGAAACTTTTTAAAACTAAGAATGAGTACTATAAATAAGACATTGCAAAGCAAAAAGCTATATAAGAAACTTCTATATTATGAAGTCCTAATATAAACAGTGATTTGGAAGGAAAGTTGGGCAATCTACTTCTGTAGTGATACTGCCTCGGAAACCCAAGGAGGGGTCACTATGAGTCGGGGCTGACTCGATGGCAGTGCATTTGGTTTTTCATTCATATGACCAAAAATAATGATGTTTTAGGTAAGATTGGGAGGGAAGGTAGTAGGTAGGTGAGTGGGTGGTTGAAGAGCTAAATCTTCACTTACTGTTGTAAAAAAGTCAATCAATTAATTATGCCTAAATAGGTAAATCTAGAAATAAATTTTATTTAGATAATAAAAATAATTACCAAAAAGCTAAGAGTTAAAAATTATTCACTTTAAGAAACAAGTAGAACACTGGCAGGGACTCAGGCAAATACTCTTTTTAGGATGGTCTTTTCCTTCTCAAAAGAAACTGCAATGGAGATGTCAGAGCCTACTTTATCTAAGCAGACTCACATTAGATAGCTCTCTACACATAAGAAATTAGGTATCTATCAGCCCACCATAAAGCACTGTAGGTCTCAGAAAGGACTCCTACCAGTTTCAAAATGATGATCTAGGGTAGAGGTTCTCATCCTTTACTACATATTAGAATCACCTGGAGTGTTGGAAAAACTATCTATTTCTGTTGTTGTTGTTATGTGCCATCAAGTCAGACCTGACTCATAGCAAGCCCTCCTTGGGTTTCCGAGGCTGTATCACTACAAAAGTAGATTGCCCAACCTTCCTAGGCCCCACCAATTAAATCAGACTCCCACCAGCCACTCCTCGGAAGGAAGGAAGAAACCCAAGGAGGGGTCGCTATGAGTTGGGTCCTACTCAATAGCACATAACAAGAACAACAAAGAACAGGGGAGTAAAAGCTCCCAGGTGATTCTATTGTGCAGCTAATGTTGAAAACCACTGGTCGAGTAGGTAAAGTAGAAAAACAAACCAAACTCACTGCTGTAGAGTCAATTTTGACTCATAGTGACCCCTCCTTGGGTTTCTGAGGCAGTGTCTCTATGGAAGTAGATTGCCCAATCTTCCTTCCAAGGAGGGCTAGTGGGTTTGACCACCAGCCTTAAGGCAGTCAAATGCCTTAGGCACTATGCCACCAGTGCTCCTAGGTAAAGCAGAGGGTCAGTGAAAAAGAGGAAGACTCTCTATGAGATAGACTGACAGTGGCTACAACAATGGGCTCAAACATAGCAATGACTGTGAGGATGGCCCAGGACCAAGTAGTGTTTCATTCTGTTACACAGGGCACCTAACAGTTAACAATAGGGGAATAAAGGCAGCCTTTGTATCTTGTATCTTTAGATAAAACTGGGTTTAAGTATTGGTATCTGCTTAAGTATTGGTCTTCCCTCATCTCCTTATTCAAATGTAAATAAACATAAGAGAAGAAAAGATAAAGTATTTAGGAATTCAAAGAAAGAGTCAACTTTTTAACCCAGGGGTGGCAGTGAATTGATAGCCACTTCTGCTTCTTGGAGGAGATTAACATTTAGATTAGGTTTTAAGAAGTGCAGTTGGGATTAAGGAGATGGCATTTCAGGTAAAGGCAATTGAACAAGCAAAGGCAATCAAAGTAGCAAGGAACACTTATGGAAACAAGGAATATAAACAATAATAACAAAGAGGTGGTGGTGGAGAGGGGGGTAACTGTTTGCCTGCCATGGTAAATACTGGCAAACTGCTCCAAAGAAGAAAAATGTTATTTCCAATACTTAAAATAATTCAATACAAACACAAAAACTAAGATTCTAAGAACTATTAAACAGCTTCTAAGTAAGTTATATAATAATGAAAAGAAAAATCATCCTAGTTTTACTTTTCTTGAAAATATTTTATCTCTTGAACACTGGAGAATTTTTACTTTACCTGACCCGTGGGTAGTGGTTGATCTAGCATCTCAACATCCAGGTGCTTAGGAAGGTTATATAATCTGCAGAGTTCACATATCAACCACTTCAATTGCTGACGAAGCTACAAAACACATTTCAGTAAATAAGCATTATGTTAAAGAGCCCTTAGAAGACATGAATAATGCTAAAACTATTGTATTAAATCCAGCAAGAAATGAGGATTAAACAAAAAAGTTTGTTAATTGCTCAACTGCAGCCTACAGACAAATTTTCCCAAGAAAAATTTAGGGGCAGCTAGAGTAAGAAAGTTACTGTGGCTTGGGTGCAATTCCTACACTTAATCCCTAGGAGAATAAGATCAACACAAAGACAGAGAAAAGGGAGCTCCAGATGGTATACAATTCCCAGTTGCTAACTTCTTTTCTTACAAACTTAACTTCAGACCACATTAATGCATTAACAGGACTACAAAAAAATAGAGGCAGTGTTGTTGCACTTGGGCTACTGAGCTGTATATATATATTCCATAGCCATGGTAATTAAACGTAGAGGAGGCAAATGTAGTCTAGTACAGAGCTCTGGAATCTAGATGATCTTGGATATGGTAGTAATTCTCTGAGTTTGAGTCTCCCTATTCGTAAAATAAAGAAATTAAAGCATCTTCAAAATGGTAAAGATTAAATGAAACCTGTGAAAAATACTTGACACTTAGGCTCTTAATTATTTATTGGAAAAATTTTTAAAAATCACTAGAAAACTGCAAAGAATTACTCCTTAAATTTCCATTTTTAAATCTAGATTTTCTGTTAGCATATTTACTTAAAGCAAAGTAAATTGTATGCGCATATGTTTTTCACTGCTTAGAATTTTTTTTTTCAATATACAAGCTTAGCAATTACAATTTAAGAAGAATGGTCAATATGTAGTAGACTTGAAATGGGAGCTAGTAAAGCAACTTAATGTCATTTGGTCAGGAACACTTGGTCAGGCCAAGAAAAGAGAGGAAGAGGAAAAAGCAGGTTTATGAAGTACAAAGACGACACACACAGGATTAGAACAGGTTAAACAAAGCAGAGAACAAGCCTTTCCAAAATGGACAAAGGAGCAAGCAGAAGTGAGGAAGGCTGAGCAGTAAATTACTATGAAACAAAAATCCTCATGCTTAAAAAGAAGCAAAGTCCCACTGTGGGATCTGTTACCAATTCAATAAACTGTTTTGTGCTAAATGCATAACAAAGATGAGGCAGGACAACGTGACACAGACCTGGACACTCTGACCCCTACACAAGAGGCACTAACAAAGACTGTTGTGGGAGCAGCAATGGTATGGTCAAGGATGTTACACTTTCCATGAATCTCAATTGTATGCCCCAAAAAAAATTTTTTTAAAGCCAAAGTGTTTGAGGGATGAGTGGAACTAAGATCATGGAAAGGATTTAAGAAATATTTAGAAGGTAGATGGATAGTTCTTAGAAACATACTAGTTTGGGGAAATTGGGAAACAGTGGTATAAAAAAGATAGTTCAGTTTTCGGTTTCAGGCTTGAGTGACTGGTTTAATTATTTCATTTTGTCCCATTCACCATTACACAAAGAGTATTATAAAGGAGAAGTATCATTTTAAGGGTACAGGGCTATGTGGAGTACCCAGAGGCAGATAAATCTAAATTTAGATGTAATTACTTTGAATACCCATGGCAAATCCAAGTGAGATTCCAGGAGACTACAATATGGATGGTGAAACTCAGGAGATAAATTTTAGCTACAGATTTAGGAATCCTGGAGGTCATGATTTAAGTACTGGGACTAGAAGAGATCACTCAGAATAAGCACAGAAATAAGAGAAGAAACAGGCAGACCAAGGAAGAACTCAGAGGATACCAAAGCAGGGTAAGAAAAGGTAAAAACAAAACCAGGAAACAGTGGTGTGATGGAAGTCTCCATAACATGATCAGTTCCTAAAGGGCAGGAATATGCTTTATTTTATCTTCATACCCACCAGTGATCACAGAACCTGGCATAGAAGCCAGCCATTAAAAACAAAGAAGCAAGCAAACAACTTTTCTGTGTTTTACTATTAATAGCTTCCTATATCAATCCTGGTGGGGAGGAATGGGGGGAATACATATAGCTATTTTTTACAACACAGTAAACAAAAGGGGACAGGCTATATGTAATATTCTATGCTTTACTGATTTACTTAGTATACTATCTTAAATTGTATGTGCTTTTATAAAAAGATCAGCTGCATTCTTTTTAACTACAATGTAATGTTCTATCAGAAAACTATACACAGTAATTTTATTTAGCCAGCTTTTTACTCACAGATATTTAGCAATAAACGTTTGTTAAATGGAAGAATATTTCAAGAGGAAATAATCAATAGTATCAAAATGCTATGGAGAGGTCAATATAAGGACTGAAAAAGGAGCCACTGGATCTGACAACTAAGAGATAAAAAACAATAGTAATGAAAGCAGAATCCAGATTATAATGAGTTAAACTCATTTGGGTGAGGAATATATAAGCTTTGTTCTCTCAGGTGAGGAAATATAGCTTGTTCTCTCAAGAGACTAGGCTATGAGATAACTGGCAAGACTATAAAAGAGAGTGATTTTATTTTTCCCCTTTATGTATATACAGTTACTTTTTAAGAAAATAAGGCCCAATTTTATAGTCTATTTCATTTAACTTTATATTATGAGCATTTCTTAAATGGAATACTTAAGACAAAAAAAAAAAACTAGTTAAATAGTTGAGCTCATACAGAAATCATGCTCCACTCATTTCTACTATTATGAAAATGGTCATTTTAAATCTTTAGAGGCAACCTCCTGAAAGGAGGCAGCAGCAACAGGGCTGCTACTTTTCCCTGGTCTTATGTCCCCCTGCTGAGCATGTGAGCATGTGTCTGTCTGGTTTTTCATTTTTACCTCTTACCTTCATGGGTCTGCACACTAGCCTTAACTCTTAAAATAATGCTCTTCAAGCTTATACTTTTTTGCTCTTAATTTTAAGATTGTTGTTGTTGTTGTTGTTATATGCCGTCAAGTCAGACCCGACTCATAGCAACCCCTCCTTGGGTTTTCGAGGCAGTATCACTACGGAAGTAGACTGCCCCATCTTCCTTCCGAAATTTTAAGATTAGATGTGTTTAAACCATCTATAACTTATTTTGACCAAAATTACCAAATAGTCAGTTGGAAGAATAACCTATCCTCCTTTCCTTAAGGAATATGTGGGTGGTGCAAAAAAGTTAAAGGACACAGTCAGAACTGACTCAAAAGGCAACTAGTCTTGGTATGGAAACTGGTAGTATCTGGTTGAGCAAATCTGTCTTCATTACCTTTATTTCAACATCATCATCATCATCATCATTTGCTATTTATGTTTCCAAACTTAAAGTCATTTGGTCACATTCAAAGTATCTGTTGGGATTTTTATGGGGTTTTATTAGATTAAGGTGGAGATATGGAGACAGTGAACATATTTACAACATGGAGTCTGCCCATCCAGGAACAAAGAATACAAACTTTTTATTGCACTTCCTGGACATCTGACTGCTAACCAGAAGTCTGACGGTTCAAACCCACCAGCCACTTCTCAGAAGGAAGACTGGGCAATCTACTTCCATAGAGATACAGCCTCAGAAACCCACGGAGGGGTCACTATGAGTTAGAATCGACTCGATGACAGTTGAGTTTGGTTTTGAGATAGCCTTTAGACAGTCATCTTAAAAAAATTTATTTCAGGTGATTCCTTTGGAATTTTTAGGTAAACAATCAGATCACTTACAAATAATGATTGATATTTTTCTAAGAATTTTATGACATCATGGGAATGTACAATGATAATGTTAACTTTAAAAAAAGGATATAATCAAAAGAAAAAAAAAGATAACACACCTATGTAGAATATGACCTTAATTATTGGTGGCTTAGTGCCTAAGGCATTTGACTGCTAATCAGAAGGCTGGCAGTTCAAACCCACCAGCCACGCCTCAGAAGGAAGATTGGGCAATCTACTTCCATAGAGATCCTGCCTCTGAAACCCAAGGAGGAAGGGGTCGCTATAAATCAGACCCAACTTGACAGTCGTGAATTTGGTTTTTGGTTATTGAAACCCATACCAGTTATCAGGTCAACCAACTGACTCATGATGAGCCTATGTGATTCAGAGTAGAACTATATTCCATTAGAGCCTTTGGGTAGGCTTGAACCTCCAACCTTTTGTTTGGCAGCCAAGCGCATTAATTGTACCATGAGGGTTATGTATTTTATTAGTGAAGAAAAAAAAAATTGTGATAGAAGGAAACAGTCACATCAGCAATAATTATTATATCAAGTACAGAAATTATGGGAAATTTTTATTTTCCTCTTTTTTACTTTTCTCTATTTTACTACTCTTCTCACAAAGATCATTTATCAGTTTCATAAAGAAAACAGTTTTTTAAGAAGTTTGTAATGTGGAAAATGACATTTCTTTACATTTAAAAAAAAAAAAAAACCATCTTTAACGCTTAGCTACTACTGCAGACTTACGAGCCTTTAACAGAACAAGCAATTCCGTAACACTAGGATGGGTATAATTGTATTATTATTATCCTATCTACCTCTATTTATTTTTCCCTTTTTCTTCTTCCACTCTAACTAGTGAGCCCTACAAAAAATACTAGCATAATATAACAGAATTCAAGGAGACAAGACCACCAAATTCTTGATCAAAATTAAGACTACAACTGTGGGGAATAAAAACAAAAAGCAATAAAGTAAATAACAGTCATGCTTTCACATCATATTCACATCATATTACCTCAATATACAGTTTCTGTACACAACGTTCATAAAGGAAAAAGAAAATTGTTTGGCTTATTTTCTCACCGAATTGTTGTTTTTATTATCTTCTAGACGTTCTAGAACTGATGTCAGATTTGGATCATCGGAGTCCACAAACCATATTGGTGAAGATGATGGATAAGATTCCTGTGTTAGAGACACCAATGTTAAACACTTTTACATACAGACTAACCTGGATATGTAATTAAACTACTAAATAGCAAGATGACCATGATTTGAAGTAAAATGTATCAGGAAGAAGAAAAGCAACACATTGAAACACATGCGAAGGAGAAACAAATGTCTTTTTTATGGATGGTTTTAAAACACAAAGTTGCTAAATTTTATGATTTCTTGCCTGTTGCATGGCTACATAATTTATACCTAATTTATATCTAAAACCAGACAAAAGAAGTACTTTTCCAGTAAGCAGTATGATTTAAAGCAAAAGACTACATATCAAAAGTTATGTTTTTAGCAAAAGCAAGGAAAAAAAAGTAGTGTGCAAGCAGCAAGGAAGATGGCCTTCCTTTATAAAAAATGTTCTATCACAGCCTGGAATCTCCAATTTTCACATTTTAAAGAGCTTTAGAATCACAGTTGTTAGCTGCCCTCAATACAGCCCTCAATCACGGCAATCTCGTGTACACTGGAATGAAACGTTGCCTGGTCTTGTGCCATCCCCACGATTAGTTGCAAATCAGATAATTTTCATTGGCTGATTTTTACAAACAGATTGCCAGACTTTTCTTCCTAGTCTGTCTTAGTCTGAAGGCTCCCCTGAAACCTGTTCAGCATCACAGCAACACACAATCACCCAGGGACAGACAGATGGGTGGCAGCTGCACATGAGGTGCAGCAGCCAGGATCAAAACCGCATCTCCCATATCGAAGGCAGTAATTCTACCATGAGCCACCACTGCCCCCTAAAATCTTAAGTCCCTCAAATAAGCAAAACAATAAGCAAACCAAAAAACCCCAACCTTTTAATACAGTCTGTACATTTAAAATATACTTGTTGGCCTTTTAATATACTATCCAATAAAGCCTAACTGAATATTTAAAATAATACCAAGAAGTACATATTTAGGCACAAGTTTTTAAGTCCTTTCATATGCTAAAAATGATGTTTTAAGATCTTCTCCTCACTATACTCCTTGCTTTCTGAGTAGTGTAATTATAGAAGTTACTTTGAGATTTTTTTCCATTAGAAAAACTGCCCTTTAAATCTATTCCATTTAATTTTATCCTTTCCAAATAATTTTCTATGGGGGGGGAGGGGAGATGTAATTTCTAACAGAACAAATTTCTTAAATGAGGTTAAGAGTTGTTGTTGTTGTTGTTATGTGCCGTCGAGTCGGACCCGACTCATAGCAACCCCTCCTTGGGTTTCCGAGGCAGTATCACTACAGAAGTAGATTGCCCCATCTTCCTTCCAAGGAGGTTAAGAGTACTTCTTAAATATAGCAGATGTCAGAAGTAGAATGAACACAGGGCTACCATAGGGCTACATTCAAGCTTTGAGACAACTACTCAAAGTGTAGCCACTGTCTGTGTACTACAGCTCAGAGAAGTCAATGTTTTTGAACACGTTGGTAAGCAGCCTCTAAAAATGGCCCCCAAAACCATCCCTCCTAGTATTCATGTCCTCATGTTACTCCCTCCTCTGGACCTTCTTAACAAACAGAATCCGGCAAAAGTAACGGGATGTCAATTCTGAGAATGAGATTACAAAAAGATAACCTCTATCTTATTCACTCTCCCTTCTGCTCTTTCAATTGCTCTCTCTGACAGAAGCCAGTTGCCCTGTGATGAGATGCCCTAAGGTAAGGCCACAAACCAAAAAAAAACTGAAGTAGGCCTCTGATCAATAAAAAACAAAAACTCTTTACCTTATAAGACAGAACAGACTAACCCCGTAGGGTTTCCAAGGCTGTTAAATCTTTATGGAAGCAAACTGCCTCATCTTTCTCCCACAGAGTGACTATCGTTGTTGTTATGTGCCATTGAGTACTACCGGACTCATAGTGACCCCTCCTTGGGTTTCCGAGGCAGTATCACTACGGAAGGAGATTGCCCCATCTTCCTTCTCAGGAGTGACTGGTGGATTTGAACCACCAGCCTTCTCGTTAGCAGTCAAGTGCCTTAGCCACTATGCTACCAGAGCTCCCCACGGAGTGACTAGTGGGTTCCAACTACTAGTTATCAGCCGAATGCTTAACCACTGCCACCACCAGAGTGCCTCACTGACCAACAGCCAGTGAGAAACTGAGGCGCTCTTAGCCTAACCGCCTGTAAGAGATGAATCCTGCCAATAACTGTAAGTGAATTTAGAAGAGGATTCTCTCCCAGTCTAGCCTTGACATGACTACTGCTCTAGTAAGCAACTTTGTTGCTTTGAGCCAGTGAACCCAGATAAACTATGCAGATTCCTGACCCTCAGAAACAGAGATGATGTTTGTTTTAAGCTGCTAAATTTTGGAACATTTTGTTACAGAGCAAAAGATCATTCAAAGAACATAAAATCCTAGTATTGTATTCCAACACACAAACTGAGTACTAGCAGAAAATACTATGACACGTGTTATATTGTAAAAACCACAACTATATGTGATAATGAGAAAAAGCTAATGAACTAAGCATTACATGTTTTCCCCTACTAACAGACATTTGCTCTTCATTTGTACTATTTTCTTGTCTAAATCAGGGGAAGACTATAATTCTTAAACACTAGCTGCACAACAATTAAGTCAAGGAAAAACAGTAATTTTGTAGAAATAGTTTTAATGCAGTACTGCTTTTGAGAATTATAATCTCAATCATAATATAGCTGAAACCACTGAAAATTAATATTTTAAAGCATTCCTTAAATATGTAAAGAAAAAGAATTATACTGACATAATGCATTATTAATGGTTTAAGGCATCTATTGGGAGCTCTGGTGGCATAATGCCTAAGTCATTTGACTGCTAACCAGAAGGCTGGTAGTTCAAATCCACTAGTCACTCCTCGGAAGGAAGGTTGGGCAATCTACTTTTGTAATGATACCCCCTCAGAAACCCAAGAAGGGGTTGCTATAAATCGAAATCGACTTGATGGCAATGAGGTGAGTGAAGGCATCTATTTGGTAATGGTTTATTTTTGTATCTCATCCTTCTAACTCTTACTATGTCTCAAATCTCTTTAGCGATCAAAAAAGCAACTGTCTTCGGAATTAATCTTATTCCTAAGAAAACCACTTTATTAAATATTGCATTTTCTTCAAATTCTTCAGCCTTATTTGGAAACAGACCATCTGAAACCATTTTTACTAGTTTTAAATATTTTCTAGCTTAAAAAAAAAATAAACCGAAACCTCGGATAAGCAAAGCACTACTGAAGAAGAAAAACAAAGTAGGAGGTCTCCCATTACC